CTCCATTTCTGAATTCTTACCTTTATTTGATAAGCTCGTAATGTAAGTAATATTAGGTTATTTATTAATGTAAAGTAATATCAAGTTAAATAATATTAGAACTATAAAGGCTACCCCTCCATTTCTAGATTTTATGTAAAGTATTAGTAATCTTATTTAAGGTCAACCCTGCATTTTTAAGTTCTTTTCTTTTCTTGATAGGAATTTTTTTTTTAATTTATTTATTTAATTTTTATAATATTTTATTATTAAAGATCAATTAATATAAAATAAATATAGGCTAACAGTCTCTCTCTCTCTCTCTCTCTCTCTCTCTCTCTCTCTCTCTCTCTCTCTCTCTCTATATATATATATATATATATATATATATATATATATATATATATATATATATATATATATATATATATATATATATATATATATATATATATATATATATATATAATTGAAATACTTCTTTCACATTCACAAGATGTTATTGGAATTGTTCCTAATATATAAATAAACACTTTTCTTATATTTGGAAAACTTCTCATGCCAATGGCCTTTAAACTACCAGCAACAGTTATAGGAATATTTGACTCGTTTTTCAAAAATAATTCCCATAAATCTAAGTCAGCATGTATTGAAGTAAAAATGAGGCATATTCAAATATATAGAAATTTTGAAATTCATAAAAATCAGATTTCCATGGTTTCTTAACTTGTATTCTGGACAGTAAAGTTGAAGGAACTGGTGCTAGACCTTTATAGTTAAACATACCATTTTCTAGAAACCTATTATCTAGGTCATTAAAAAAATGTTCAATTAATGGAGAAGTAAAGTCACAAACTGTATTTGTAGGATAATTATACTGGTAAACCTGAAAAGTACGCAATCTAGGTCTCATTTCTTGGATATCAAGAGTAAAACCAAAAGCTAAACTAAAAGCAATAGCTACTACAACTAAACTAAGCCTATGGCTTGTACAACAAACAAAAAAAGCATTATGTTTTAGAGCTTTTATTAAAGAAGCAACTCCTTTATATTCACATCCCATAAATCCTGTACCATCATACCCTTGGCCTCAACAACTTTGAATATGAAGTCCAAAAAGTGTGTTGAAGTACATTAAGTAATTTTAGTAAGTAAAAAATTTAGAGATAGACTAAGACCAGATGTACCAGACTTGCAATCAATAAATGTTAGAAAACCTTTGCAAATCTCATTATTTGAATTTACATATCTTAAAAAAAGTGACATTTGTTCAGTATTTGAGCAGTCAACTGCTTCATCACAAAGAATTTAAAAAAAAAATTGAAATGCTTTACATATATTACTAAATGTATCTCAATTGTTTTTCCACGAGTATCAATAAGTTGGTTTAGGGTAGTTTTTATAAAGGTTTTTGATATAAAAGTTTTTGTAAAGGTCTTTGATAAAATGGTTTTGATATAAAGGTCTTTGATAAAAAGTTTTTTACAAAGGTCTTTGATATAAAGGTTGCATTTTTTAGAGTTGAAAAAAGGTGATTAGCTAATATTTGATCACCAGCATTTACGCCAATTTTTAAAAGCTGTAAGAAGTTACCTCTTCCGACCAAGAAATATCATTTTTTCAATTATTGGAACAAATTTTTTTCAGTTATCAGATAAAACAAGAAATATATCAACCTCAATAACATTATTTGGGGTTGCAGCATGAACATAAGGCATTGTAAAACACAACTTTTTTCATGTTTTTAAAAATCATGAACAACATTACCACATTCTTAATGAAGCATGAAAACTATATTTAGTATTCCAGACTTGTTTGGAATACTAGCACATAGCAAAGTATAAAGGAAAACAGTAAGCTGATGTTTATTGCTAGAATAAGCTAACCAAAAAAAGTGGCTGAGTCATTCAATTTTAAATTATCTTTTTGTATTAGTCTATTAAATATCTATTGAGCCGGTATTGGAAAAACATATATGAACTAGGACAAAATACTTTTTTTACTATATCTAACAAAATTGCATCGTTTTTACCAGCTGTTAAAAGTTTACCATGGGTTAGATATGTTGAAACATCATATAAAGTATTTGAGTCTTTATATAAAGGAATATTAACTTAATTGGAATCTAATCACTTAAATATATTAAAAAATCTACAGAAATTTCAAAAGGCAACTCTATAAAAGCATTGTCTTTTTTGAAGTTAGTTTTAGATCGAATTTGGACATGTTTTGCAGAATTAACTTTTTTTGTAAAAGAAACAGAGAATTGTTTTTTTATTTGTTTTATTTTTAAGACTATTAAAGTGTAAAGGATAAATAAAAATAAAAAAAGTATATAAAACAAGATCAGTTTAAATTATTTTCTAGCTGGAAATATAAAACAACATTAACTTTAGTAATAGGGTTTATGTTAAAGTAACATAATCTTTACCATCTACTGGCTTCCGGATAAAACAATCAATTTTAAAATTTTCAAGACTGATGCACTGGACACTTGTTATTTAAAATTTTCAACTCCTTAGTTAACTGATTTTTACATTTACGAATATTTTGCAAATACCTAGCCTTAATTACATTTGAAGCTAAAAAATTCTTCTTTGTTTCAAAACTTTAATTTACAAGCAAAGTCATACGACAAAAGTTACGAGCAAAGTACGTATATCAGAATACGAACCTGATATGGCATATCAGGATTTTGTAAGTTTTGAACTATTTGGAGCAACTGATGCAATTGTTTTAAACTTTTTACAAAATTGATTGGTTAACAAAAACATTCTCCAATCATATTTGAAACATTTTTGGATTTTTTTGCGGAAGGTTTGTTGAAACTGATGCAATTGTTTTTTTAATAAATAGTGATTGGTTTAAACTGTTTTTTAATCAATCATTTATGATTTAGAGAACAATTGCATCACTTGCTACAAAGTGGTAGGAAAAATTTGAAAAAAAATGTACAAATGCGATTGGTTAAAGCCTAAAATATTTATTCTTTAACCAATCACATTTGTAATTAGTGACGAACAATTGCATTAGTTGCTCCAAAACGAAGGAAATTTTGTTTAAGTAGGGTAATTCGGGGCAGTACGAGACACTTAAGGATTAAAAATTATCTAAATAGACCTGGATTTAAGCAAAAAATTAAACAAGTGTACAGTAAATCTTACTTAGAGTAACTCTTTCCAAAACTTATAAGTAAATTTTTAAATTTATTTTTAATTGGATACACAGAGGATTTTATAAATAGCAACAGCGTGTCTCATGTTCCCTACCTTACGCACAGTAGGGTATTTGATTGATTTAGGCGGCCAAAAGTATTTAATAATCTTTGATTAAAAAAGTTTAACTTTTTTTAGGAAAAGCTGGTAGAGAAGCCAAATAAAAAGAGAAAATAAAAGTTTTTAACAAAATTTATGGAAAATAGACTCCCCCCCCCCTCTCTCTCTCCACAGCTTTTTTTTTTTCACACATTACTAAATCATAAAAAGAATAAGAACCTATTCTATATGGTTCTTATCATGATATAAACCTATTATATATGGTGGATAACTTTCTCCCTCTAACTTTCACTCGGAATTGAAAGTCAAAACATCGCGATTTGCGTTATCTTAATGTATTCAGAAGCACTTGCAATTTCTATGTAACTCTTATTAAACTATGGTATATATTAAAAAAATCTTTACAACTATTTATATTTTAACTCAAAATAACTACTATTAAAAGGATGATGCCGAAAGCAAAAGTTCTTCATCAGAAGACATTCTGGATTGCTCTGAAGACATCCCTGATTGCTCTGAAGATTTCTCCTCTGTATTAACAAGATCAGTAAAATCAGAAAGTTCAGCTGGAAGTAGCATCTCCAAGGTTTCTTTTAAGAATGGTTTAGTATTTTTTCTTGGTAACTTTCTCATGCCAGGTAAAATAGGATCTGAACTAATTAGTAATCTATTAAAAACGTCGAGGTTGCAAGACTCTCTGGAAAACTTTTTAGCATTGTTTTGACAGTAAAGACAAAAATATTTATTTCGTGATTCAGCTGCTTCTTCAGATAGCTGACCATTAGGAAGCAAACCATGCTCTATTACAATAAAACCATGAATAAAGGGATTTCATGCATTGTAGGGGTCATTCGATACCATTTGGTAAAACTGGATATATAATCCTGCAATTTTTACAGTATATCTTCTTAATTTTTGACATCTATTTTATGTTCACTAGATATTGTTTCTAATATTACTTTAAGGCGATATATTAGGTTATAATCTATACACAATATTTCAGCTGCCAACTTTGGGTCTGCAAAAAATTGTCAGCTAGTATTGCCATCATTTGAATTACCAAATCCAGGCTTAGGTACGTCTACAATTAAACCTATTTTTTTCTCAAATTTGATTGTATTTCTAGTTTTTTTTGTTTGACAATTAAATTTTGATTTTCTGATCTCGCTTGCCATTTTTTAATAGGCAATTTATCAGATAGATGCAATAAATTTTCAAATATTCGGATCCTGGCATGCAAAATTGATAACCCAAACTTTAGTGTATCTGGTCTGACATCTTTTTCAATAGTCAAGTTATTAAAATCTTTCGATGTTGCACCACAAATATAGCATCTCATAGTTGAAACTTTTTTAGTGGCTGCGTTACACACCTTAGCATCAACCATAATGAGCATCATACTATGTTTAACTAAAAATAAATTCCCACCCATTGTCAATTTTGTATCATGCAAAGAGATATATAAATTTTCTATAAGTTTTATCTTTTCATTTGTTATATCATTAGATTCTTTGACAAATCTAATTCTTATAGGGCGACAATAACGTGGCAAAGAAGGAGTTAGATTTTGCCAGATCAATCTGTTGTTTTTAGTACAAGTTAATTGAAGCGATACAAAAGAACTCTGAAACATACTTGCATTAGAATCAGCGCCATTCAGAAATTTCTGTTTACATTGATTTTGCTGTGATCCGTGACAACCCCATTTACAATTTAATATTAATGAATTTCTTTTTTGTTTCAATTTTATACTACTTCTTCTAAATAATGACCAATCGTTATGACCAATCGTGTAACGGTATGGCCCAATAAATCTTGTAAACTGACTGCAATACAGATTTCAGTGACATAATAAGATTCTTTATTTGGATAACAATCTACTTTTGCAGGATGCTATAGCAAGAATATAATGTTTTGCAAGAACTTCTATTAATTTCATATTGTCTTCAGGAAAGACCAGCTTCTACAAACATGGCTAGTGCACTTAATACCGATAGCTGTGATTTTTTTCCCTGTAAAACGCTAGCGTATGCTATCTAATACATTTTTCCCAGCTTTGGGGAGTCGATAATGTCCTTTAAAATTTTTGAAGCAGTTCTTTTTTCTGTAACACCTAATTCCACCTGAGCAGCACAAATCAAAGTTTCTGAATTTGTGGTAGCACGTATGTTTTCTGTTTTTCTTCTTTTGCTTCTCTCGCTTAATTCTTTAAAGTTCTTTGTTGGCCTACTCTCTTGGTGCAGTACTGCAGGTGTTGCAATATTTCCATCTAACCAATCACTGTTTTTTATTAAAAACAAATTTTTATCCCACTTTGCTATTGATCATCTTTGTTTTAACTCGTAACTAAACTGCGATAAACTATGTTTTTCTTCTTTTATTTGTTTGTCTGAGCAATTATCTTTTGCTAATACGTAATGTTTTAAAAATATTAATTTCTCATTCATATTTGATAAAATTTGGCTCTGCATTAGATCAGAAAACATTTTTCGGGTCGTTTTCCTGACATCTGACGAACCTAAGATAAACTCCGTTTAAAATTAAAACTTACCTTTTTTTATTAAATAAGTTATTTTATAGTTTTGATAAAATATATGATAATATATTTTATCAAAACTATAAAATAATATCTTACTTTCTTTAAAGTACACAGAGAAAAAAAGAAAAAAAAGAGAAAAAAAATTTATACAGAAACAAGAAACCTCCTGGTCTTTTCCTATCATACACTTAAGAACAGGAAGAGTGAATAAACAAATACGGAGAACAAAATGGCAAAAAATAGCAGGTGATTTTTACATATCATTAAAGTCAAAACCTTAGCCTATCTGTTAATAAAAAAACAGCAACCTGGAAATGCTTGGAAGTATAACTAATTACTTATAGTTTGCAGTGAAAATTGCAAAAAACAAGAGAAAGAAAAGAGTTTTTACAAAACCAACAGACTTATATATAATCCCAAATAAACTAATTAAAACTTTTGAAATGTATTTACCTTTACCAACTTCATTAGAATTCATCACAAAACACTTTGAAATATACTTTGATTAAACTTTAATTTGATGCTGATAAACGCTAATAAAATTAGCAACCAAAAGAAAACGCGTAAACAATAATTAATGATCAACTTTGTATATATCCTACAGCTTGTTGTTAAAACCATTCGCGGTTACTTAACGTTTATGCTATTCACTAACCATTTAGATTTGCTAAAATAACTTTTTTCATTTATTTTGGAAGTTCTGAAAAATTGAGTTTTGGCCGCCTAAATCAATCAAATACCCCACTGTGTTACGGGGCAAAACGAGACAACACATGTTATGCAACTAAAGAGAAAAAATAAGAGACTTATCCAATTATTTTTTATCATAAAAGATGTTAAATACAATTCATAAAAAAAAAGTAACTTTAGCTTAAAAAATTAACCTGCTTGGCTAATCTAACCACAGTTAGGTAAGCCTTAAAAAACATAGGTTAAAATTAGAAACTAAATATTAAACATAGATAATATTAAATATTAAACATAGATATTAAACATTGTTCAAACTTAAGCACCACCCGAAAAAATTGTTGCACAAGTTATACTGAACTATAAGACATAAATTAATGGATCATAGAATGTTTAAATATAATCACGGCACACACACAGTTTACACAAAAAATCTGTCCCCAACTTAACAAAATAAACTTCACGGTACCATAATTTACACCTAAAGCATTGGACACATTTCTGGCTAGACTCTGATATTTTTTGGTTTTCTCCATATTTAATTTTATCATCTTTTTTTAGTTTAATCATTTTTTCTGATGGTCTTTTTTTGTTGAATTTAACTTTTTTTTTGTTTTTCAACCCCTCCTGCAAAGTTTTTTTATACAATGTGCTTGTCAAAATTTTCTCCCTTTCTTTTTGTTGTCTTCACTTCAATAGCTGGAATTGATAATATATCAGTAAAAGAAAGCTGTTGAGAGTTTGAAATTGACAACGAGGCATTTATTTCATTAACTGAAAAACTAGCAATGGATGTTTGAACATTCGAATTTTGGTTCGGCCCAATTAAAGAATTAGTTGTAGATGATTGTTCAGGATTTATATCTGCTATTTCATTAAATATTATGTTTGTATTACTATCTTTTAAACATAGATTTTCAAAATAATCTGACTCAGGAAGGATTTCTCGATTAAAAGGATTGATGCCTGTTACTCGAAATCCAGAAATAGCATTTTCCACTGTAGCTGCTTTCACATAAGCTTGACAAAGTAGTCCTGAAAGTTTATCAACTGTAATTCTTCTTCCTGGGTGCTTTCTCATCCATGTTGTGCATACTAAGTTATAAACACTCTTTAAAGATTTGAACAAAGTTCGATCAAGTGGTTGGAGCTTATGGGATCTATGTGGTGGTAGTGATAAAATATGCAATCCATTTATGCTAGCATAATTGAGAAAATCAAGATTTTTGGTGTGTGATTTGTGACCATCAAGAACTAACAAACACTTATTTGTAGTGCTACAATTTCCATGTATTACAAAGTGTCTTATAAAATCCATAAACAAATTTGTATTTACCCAACCATTTTTAGAACAGCGCCCAACTGTTCCTGGTAGTGCATCATCAATCAATGAATCTAGCATCCGTTTTCTTTTAAAAATAATCATAGGAGGTTTAATTGTGTAGTGTCCCACACAATTAAAAGCTTGTATAACAGTTGTTGTTTGACCTCTCTCGCCACTAGTTACTGAAGATACAACACGTTGGCTTGTAAAAATACAATTATAAAAATATAGACAATACAAAATAAAAATAAATACAGACACACAAATAATAATTTGATTTTTCACTAAAGCAAATAAAAAAATTTGCAACTTCTCACTTATTACCTTTATGAGCTATTACTTTTAAAGGCTTGTGAACACATGCAAATCCAGATTCATCGCAGATGCGATTTGCTTCAAATTGGTTTTCATTAATAAGTTTTTCCAGGTTGTCAAAATATCTTTGAACAGCAGCCTTATTTAAACCAAAAACTCGATTTATGGATACTGCCTCCGGTTTCCGAATAGACAAAAAGGGTTGTCGTTTCAAAAATCTAACTATAAAATCTCGATCTGCAAGTTTCTTTTCAGTATTAAATGGATGGTTTATTTTATTGCGTACAACATAGTCATACACCACCCTTTGAAGTTCATTAATTGATATACCATAAAAGACTAACTCCATTTTGATTATATACTGTGCCAAATCTTTTTCTTGGGCATCAGATAACACTTTTCTATAAGAACCAAGGAATTTTATGTGTGGTTTATCATCAGACATTGTTTTTATTGATTTATTAACTCTTCTGTTAAGAGAATCTTTTGGAACCGAATATTCATTAGCAGCTTTACTTAATGTCATTTCTTTATTTTTGACAGCTTGGATAGCTAATTTCATATTGCTTTCATCCCAATTTCCACGATTTGTTTTTCGTTTGTAATTTCTAACCATCATAAAAACCATAAAATCTTTACAAAATTTTTTTTGATTTTTCTGAGTATATATCAGAGTATATAAAAATTAAAACAACTGAATAATGGACTGTCTTATCTTTCCTACAAAGACCGTATGTTAAAAACATAAAATTCTTACCTTACAAATCAAATTAAGTTTTCTTTTCTTTTTGGGGTATGAATAATAAAGAAATCTTTTTTAAAAAAATTTGCAGCACGACACTAGTACATCTAAATATATATCAAGAATATGAATTGCATTGAATATGTCTTCACTAAGAAACGCGTTGAAAAAAATAATGGCTTTACTAAGTTTCAAAAATACCAGTTATTTTGTCATCAAACAAACTAAGCATTCCAAAAAACAGGTGTATTAAGCTTAGCAAGTACAACCATAAACTATATGCCTAATATTAATGAAGGACTATGATGATTACTATCTCCAGAAAGGATAAAAGAAAGTTGTCTCATCTTTCCCGTTGTCGCATATTGCCCCGAATTACCCTAACGAATAAATAATTATAGAGATCAAATCAAATCGAGTTTAGATGTAATAATTTTTTTCGAGTTTAAAACAAATTCTATATTTTTTTAAGTATCAGATTCTAATTTCTACTCTAACTTTTTATTATGAAAAAAAAAAGTGAAAAAGAGATACACTTAAATTTAGCGGTGCAAAAGGACTGATGCATGCGCATCAGTGGCGACACCCTAGATCCGCCCCTGCGGTGATTGTCGTTAAGGATGATTAAAAGCCAATTAAATTATAAGCTAATCTAATCGGACTTTATATTAATTTTTTTGTAAACCTAATAAAAATGAAGATAACATATAACTCAGGTAGACTTTGCTTACAGTTTCTCTTCCAATAGTAAGTAAAATTATGATATCTTATTTCAGAAACTACGACCATTCAAATAATCATGGACAGTAGTGTAATATATATATATATATATATATATATATATATATATATATATATATATATATATATATATATATATATATATATATATATTCTAGTAAGAGGGCACAACTCCGTTATAAAAAGTGTAAATTATTTCAAAAAATTATTTTTTCTAAAACACGCTTAACTCAAATTTATTGTAGAAACTGTTGTCGATATTTATTTTTTCCAAACAGATACTGAAATTGGTCAAAGTTTCATTTATTTAAATGTTTGTTATTTTAATTGCCCTAACAACGCACATAGCAACCGTTTTTAAGTACTTTTTTTCACCTTTTTTTAGCACTATTTTAAAGTTGATTTTAGATTTTTGTTTGTACAACCGACATAATAGACATAATGCTGAGAAATCACAAGGTTCTTCCAGTTAACTTACTGGTTTTGCATACTGATTTACATTCTTGCCAAAAATTGGTTTAAATTAATGTTTAATTTTTAGTTTTATAACAATTTCTTAATTTTGTTGCTATGTAGCTATATATATTTATTTATATAGTATATTTAACAAGTTTAAATATATATCTACAAATTGAAGTAGAAAAAAGATCTCGTAAACTTCGATCAAAACGACAAAAAAATGTGTTTCATAGTAAATAACACAGTTTTACATTGAATAAACATTCTACAAGAATTTTTTGATCATGTTCTGAATTTTTCAGAGAAATAAAAATATTTAGAAAAATTATTTTAAAACATTTCAACACTTAATTAACAACAAGTCTGTGCAAGATGACAAATAAAATATTGCATGAAAAAAATAGACTCTATCACTACACTATTAAAACTATTTGGAATCAGGCTGTTTTTATATAAATTCAAACGACAAAAAAGTGTTTTTTAATAACTAACACTTTTTTTTTTCTTTTTTTTATTCGACTTGAAAGTTTTACTGAAAGCTCTGTTACAATTTATAACTAGTTTGATGTTAGAGGTATGCAATAAACCTCAAAAACTTTATAACTAACTTATTTTTTAAGGCGGTGCTTCATTTTGTTTCATTTTGCTTCATGCTTCAAGACGCATTTTTGTTTTTTGGTCGTAAGTTTTAGAGTTTTCTGCATTTACACATATTATATATACATTTTCTATTTTTTTCTCGATTACGTTTTCTTTGCATTATTTCTAGTACTATACTTTCTTTTCCTTCCTTAATATCCTTTTTTTCTTCTAACTATTATATTACTATAGATTTACTTTTTACTAAATACTACTGTATTTTATCGACTCAAAGAGTAACTTAATATACATTATTAAGTAACTTAATATACATTATTAATAACTATTTATTTACCTATACTTATATGTAAATATATACCTGTTATATAAAATCTAACTATTATTTTAACAGGTTTTTAACATATTTTTACTTCTGTATATAGATTTTTAATATTATAGACGAGTTCTGCATTACATTTTTGTTGTCTGATTTATTTTTTTCCTACAAGTTTTTCAAGAATCGATTTGTTTTTCGATTATTTTTTATCAAAAGCTTTTGCGTCTTGACTTCTATTACAAATAGTTATTAGTAACTATATTGCGGACATTTTATTATTATATATAAATATTTTAAAGTTTATATAATTAAATATAAAATATCTAAATTAATTTAAATAATGTAACTGAACTGAAAAGTTAAAAACTTGTCAACAATGTCAGCAATCGAAGAAATAGCAACCAAAGCCTTCAATGCAGCAATCGATATAAAAGATTTAAACGCTACTCTCATGAGAAGTTACCAAAATGATATCGCTCTAATGATCAAGGCAGCTGTACTTGTTGCAACGGCAAATATGAAACGGTCTAGTGAAATAAGAGAAAAAGCCCTAAAAGACAAAATTGATTTTTTGGTCAAAAATATTAATGAGTTGAAATAAACAAAATCATCAGCCCCGCCATCATTTGTATTTTTGCTCACGAACAAAACGGATGAAAGTAAACAGCAACGGCAGCAATTAAGTACCATTATAGCCTCTCAAAATAAAAATATTTGCGAGTTAAACGTCATTATAGTCGGTCTTAACAAGTCTAGCACAGTAAACGATAAAAAGCATGTTGAGGATTTTTTTTTTGGAAATGGGATTGAAGGATGCTACTGGTATTGTACGTGTTAACCGCATCAAAACAAGTAAAAACAAAGTAAAGATATCAAACTCGAAAATTATCATCATATCTAATCTTTCATCTAGGACTGAAATACTCAAAACATGCGCCCACCACAAGCAAGAGATATACAAGGGTGTCTACGTTCGCGAAGACCAAACGCCAGAGCAAGAAACTGAGTTTAACGCCACTCGCACCCAGCTCAAGAAGCTAAATGACGAACTTGCTGCTGCTAACATTTTAGATAAATTATTTTGGAATGTTATACATTTAAGGACAGGTCGCATCAGTTGCATCATTGTCATCGAATCAACGTCCAACCAGTGCTATGTGTTTACATCCCCAGACAGAGCCCTGGCTGACTACGCCAGTCGAACAGCCGCTCCTAAATCAGAATTCTCTACTACCATCTAGACGTCCTAGACCAATATCTAAAGCAAAAATAAAACCAATTCGAACTCTTCCATTGTTCCACCTAACCATTTACGCTACTGGGCAAACAACCCATGCTCTATCAATAATGACAAACGCCAAGAGCTGTTGGCCAGAATCTCTTCTCTGCCTAAATCTAGTTGGCCACAAGTCATATTTTTTGCGGAAACTTGGTTCACAGATTTCTCAGACGTTGCCATACCCGGCTACCAACCTCATCGCAAAGACAGAGAAAATAGGGGTGGTGGAGTTGTCATTTACACAAAAGACAATATTATAGTCAATGAAGTTAATTCTACTCAGGTCAACTCAACATCAATTGAGCAAATTCGGCGAAAAATAAAAATGGGTGAAGAACCGTTTCTCTACAGCTGCATATATCGCCCTCACAACCTTAATGATCAGGTTCTTTCTCAGTGTATCACATCGATCACGGTCGCTAGGCAGATACTGCCCAATTTAAACTGCTTGACAATGCTACTATATGGAGATTTCAATTTCAGCCATACATCTTATGAGTCAATTGAAGTTAACGGTGGCATTGCAACAGTTGCCCACGTGAGAGATGAGCGTCAAGGCGATATTCGGTTTCAAAAGTGCCTTGATGAATGTCACCTAACTCAGCTTGTCACATTCCCAACGTATCGTAGTAGTCGACACGTCAAGCCCGCTAACGCACTTGATCTGATCATAACAAACATAGCCAGACCATGTCATCTTCATCAAACAAGGTGGTTCTCTCGGTAATACTACAATGGGCCAGGCACACTGCTTCATTGAAGGTCAACTCGCTGTTGTAGGCCCTGACAACTTATCTACTTTGCCATTACGACCTCGACTTATTTAGAGCCGAGCAAACTACGCAGCAATATCCTCGCACGTTGCAGCTGTAGATTGGGAAACAGAATTCACTGGTCTAAATGCAAACGATAGTTACCAGTTCCTAGTTAATGTGTATAATGAAGCTATCAATCTATACATCCCATCAAAAACTACTCCCTTCACTGAAAATAGGAGCCATGGGTAACACCAGATCTTATTAAAGCGGTCAAAGCTAAACGTGCCTCTTGAGCCAAGTTTATTAATGCAGGTCGTGATGCGCACCAATTACTCAAAGAATCACATCGCACCGCATGCAAAAACATTACTAAAATAGTAAAATCTGCCAGGCTTAATTACAAAGAAAAACTCGCCAGTGAGTGCAAAAACAACCCTTAACGCTTACATGCACATGTGCAAAGCAAACAGAGCGTTAGGAACACTATTACATTGCTAGAAACAGCTAATAGCAACATCACTACCAATACCGGCGATATATGCTCATTATTGAATAACTATTTTCGTTCGGTTTTTGTTTTAGAGTCCGAAGGTCCATTGCCAGCTTTCGAAAGTCGTACTGAATCAATTTGTGTTGTCGACCCAGCAAGTTTTTCTATCGATATAGTACAAAAGTGCCTCTACCAACTCGATCAAAGAAAATTAACCGGCTATGATGGTTT